CTCCCTGTCCATGCCCTCAAAGAAAGAGGCTCCAGTGGCTCCATCCAGCAGGAAAACCACCCATCAGAGAAAAAAAAAAACAACAAACCCAAACCTGAAATAATTCAGGCAGCCATCAGTTCTCTGTGTGTGGAAAAGGCAACAAGACTTGGGGAGACCTGGAGCAGGGAGGACATCCCTCTCAAAGCCATCTTGCAGCTCTGGGGGATTAAAGGCAGTGTCAGCCCATCCTGTCCCAGAAGTGCCATAGGACTCTGTGTGTGTCTGTATTTTTCCACTGCCATCCTGACTGGGATAATGGGGATAATGTCTGCATAATGGGGAGACATTATAGAACCAGCTGCAATTTTATCTAGAAGGGAGTAATGAATATTTTGTTCCAAGAGGCTTTTGAAACCAACAGTGACCATCTGGTTAAAAGTTTTGCTCTCGGACTTGTCACGATTCCCCAAAGTTATAATCAAGCACCTCTGTGCCCTGGTCATGCCAAGCAGATTTATTTTTAGGTCTGGCTATTGAGCAGACTTCTGGTTTTTCAAAGACCATTAGAATCCTGCTCTCATTATTAACAGGCGCCCTGGAAACAGGGATTTGCTTTTGCCTGGAATCAGTAAAACTTCTGGCTGGTGCTAACAAAGCTGAGGCAGATACTAATGAGGGTTTGAGGGCAGACGCTGCCTCAGACAACACTGATCCTCAAAAAGCACAGAGTTGGCTGCAGCACCAATTGTGCTGCTCTTCAAAAAATGGAAAGAAAAAAAAAAAAAAGATGCTGTCACTTCTCTTTTATTAGGTATGTATCCCCAGAGAGTCATTCTAAAGCTCCAGAGTACCATTTTCTCTGCCATTGGGTAGTCTCTGGTACTTCTGGGGAACAGTTTCTGTTTTCCCCTGTCAAGCTGTTTGACTGCATGGATTTTTTTTTTGTATTAAAGCAGCAACAGGTCACAGGGTGAGACAGATCTTCTTTTTCCAGGTTTCTACGTATAACACATGTATGTAATCTTAGGCTCCCCAGAGAGAGATATGGCAGTTCAAACAGAGGGAGAATTATCCTGCTCCATGGCAATGTGTTAAAGCTGCAGACGTGATTGATAGGTCCTGAGGTAGCTGGATTGTGTGCTGGAAATCAGCAGCAAACCAGTTTGCCCCAGAGACTCCCCAGTCTGTGTATCATCTGTGCCCATTTTATTGGAATAGGTGAATTAGGTGTGTGTAGTTAGGTACCAAGAGCAAGTTTCCCACTGAATTCCAGTTTAAGCTCTGGTTGCACTGGAAATGAGAGTCACCCTGGCAGACTTTTCACTTTCCAACAGGGGAATTGAACAGTGTCTCCATTTTCTCTCCTCTGCAGCATGGACAAAGACAGCCAGGATGTCCACCAGGTGCTGAATGAGCTGAAGAACAAGTTCCAGGAGATGAGGAAGCTGATCAGCTCCATGCCTGGCATCGGAGTGAGCCCAGAGCAGCAGCAGCAGCAGCTGCAGAGCCTGCGGGAGCAGGTCCGGACCAAAAATGAACTGCTGCAGAAGTACAAGAGCCTTTGCATGTTTGAAATCCCCAAGGAGTAGGAGGGGAACAGCTCTGGTTTCTGGGTCCCAGATGCTTCCTCTCCTAGCTGAACAGGAGATAAAAAGGTGGCAGAAGTTCACTTTTCTCTCTTTGATGCTTTTTTTTTTGGTGGCATTGGCTCTGAAGTTGTGGCTGTGAGGATCTGAGGCACGTGGCACTGAACCAGAACACTCTGTGCTCCACATAGGATGATCACAGTGGGATGTTCACCTCGAGCTGCTGTAGGACTGTGCATTTATGTGTGTTTCTCTTCTGTTTTCTCTCAGGGTGGGGTGGTTTATTTGTTTTTTGGGGTTCTTTTTACATTAAAGCAAGCAAGAAACATGTTTTCTCCTCACTAAGGTCAAAGTACCTGCTGCTTGGCTTCATCAAGAAAAAGGGGGCATTTTCTGCATTTTTTTTTTTCACTTAAAACTGGCCAAACATCAAAAGGGAACATAGGAGGGAAGCATGAGCTGCTTGGCCTTGCTCCTGGGAAGAGTCTCTGGGGCACTTTCCAGACTGTGTGTGTCGAAAGAGGAATGATTGTCTTCAATTACTTTTGTATTTCTCTCTTTTTAAACAAGTGGTGATTGTATCTGAGATGAGTAAAGATTTAGAAATTCAAACTGCCCCTCTTGTGTATTCACTGCGTGGATGAGCAGGGGCAGGGTTTTGGCAGCACAGGGGATGTGTGTAGCCTGGGCCCAGCTCCTGTGTCTTTATGTAGCTTTTTTGGAAGCAGAGTGACTGGGGAGTGCGAGGCAGGGGCTGCCAGGGGAGTGGATTTCATTAAGCTTTGGGTGTGTAAGTTTCCTGCAGCTTATTGGGCATCTTGGTCTTAAAACACAGGAAGGGCAAGCAGAATCAAAGAGCATAAGTGACAAGGGGTTTTACTTCTTCCATACATGGCAGAAGTCAGGCTCAACAGGATGGGTCATTTCCACATCCAAAGTGCTCTGGGGACTTCCCACATTTTGAGCA